GCCGCTCCCCTCAAGGCGGCAGGAGCGCCTTCTTGTCAGAGAACAAACCTGATCGTGCTCCTTCCCCACCCCGAGTCCCACACAGCCCCCCCACCCCCCCCCCCCCCGGCGCACAGAGTCCTGCCTCTCCAGCTTCCCCCTCATCACCCTCCGCTCTCCAATTCCACACTCAAAGCAAACAATTCACAGATCCCCCAGGGCTCCCCACTTTTCTGCTTTCAAATCTTGGCACATGCTGCTCCCCGCTTCACAGGCTAATAACTGTTATGTTCCTTCAAAACGAGCTCTGATGCTCCCTCCCTGAGGAACCCCACCTCCCCCCGCCCCCACCCTAACGTAGTATTTACCGGACTTGATTCAGTGGCTCGTGCTTGCACTTGGCTGTGTACTGGCCGTTTCTCCATCACTCTCCTAACTACAGGGTCTGGGCCTTCTGACTCCACGCTCCTGTATTTCCCCAGTTTCTCTTATCACAAGAATTACCAGAGGAGAGGTATGGAATTTATAAATTCCCAGGCTATCCCCCAAACTGACTGAATCAGGATCTCCAGATTCTTAGCAAGTGTACATACACACACACACCTGCCCCTACACATTCCTGGTGACTCTGAGGCTCAAGCAAACTGGGGGAGGCTGGTCCAACAGGCCGCCTGGCCCACAGCAGGCTCAGTAAACACCTGCTGAGCGCGTGAAGGACCAAGTGGGCTGCTCGGGACACAGATGCAGGGAAGCCTGCTCGCTCAGTGGGGACCCTGAGTCCGGGTTCAGGCTGCAGCTCCTCTCCCCGCCGCACCGCCATCCCACGCTGACCCTGCTGTCCTGAGGGGTCTGCACACCCGCCCGCCCATCTAAAGGCCTGGGCGCACTCTGAGCCCCGCACGACCACCAGGTGATAAACCAGGTGGAGCTGGAGGAGCGGCAAAGACCACCTTCCATCTCTGTCACCAGGAGGACTGATTCTGAACTGGTCCCCGTCTCCAGACCACTGTCCCACGGAGACGACCCAGAAGTCAGAGCACCTCCTGCTGAGTGTTTCCTTAGTGGCCATGACTCTGGTTCTAACTTGACTTTTCTATTCTGATAGGAAGGTCTGCAGATACGGTGAGAACATACCTCTTGGGTTTGTTTTTTGGCCACTTGAGCAAAAAGGTCTTCACAAAATCTTGGAATGATTCCTGGTTCTTCACTAAACCCCATCATCCTGGAAAATACATTATGAATGGGGAGAAGTCAAACTAATTCAGTTTTTAAATTCCTTTTGGGGAATTGGGGTGGGGAGAGGGTGGAGGGCAAGCTGAAGAGAGCTCATGGGTAGAACCTGGGCTCTGGAGCCAGATCCGCCCGAGTTCAAATCTTGGCTTCACCCCTACGAGCTCTGTGACCTTGGACAAGATACTGGACCAATACTGGGAGCCTCAATCCCTTCTTCTGTGAAATGGGAATAAACAGAGCTATCTGATTCGGGGAGGGGGGGGTCGCTGTGGAAAAGTAGAAACAGAGCCTTTAGGGCAGTGACTGGGGCAGACTGAGAACTCGGTAAAGTCAGCTGCTATCAAATGTGACTGCTTCCTTCTAGGACAGGCACCACCACCAGACCACGACGGCGTGACTTACTTGTAACTCGCACAATAATCCTTCCAAAATACCTTCTCTGGGCTTCGGTTTACATAAGAAATATAATTTACAGTAAAATGGGGCCAATGATGCTTATAAGGTAAACAATTTCCGGCGCAAACAGAAGCCCAGAGATTAAGGAACTTGCCCGAGTTATCAGAACCTGCACGTAAAATGGTCGAGGTTTGAGCCCAGAGCTGCGCGGTTTCAAATCTACATTCTTTCTCTCAAACCATGCTGCTTCTCATGAGAAGCTTTGAACATGTCTGGATGATCACGCTGACGGTGAAACGCACGTGTACGACTTCCCGGAGCCGGTCTGCCCGTAGGCGAAGAGGCAGGTGTTGTAGCCCTGGAAGGCCTGCTGCAGGAGTGGGGCTGCCAGCGCCGCGTACACGGCCGTCTGGCTGGCGAAGCCGGGGTGACGCTTGTCAACAGACCAGAAGGCAAGGTCGTAAACGAAACTGTAGACCTGTCGCAGGCCCGGGTGCTCCACGGCGACTTCGTCCCCGTTCATGAAGACCACCTGGGGGGACCTTTCAGTCATCTCTCTTCAAAAGCAGCACAGAGAAAAACACCAAACGGCTGTAATTACTTACAGAGTATTATCCCCACAGAACAGAAAAATGGCCTCAAACTGGCTCCCGTCTCATGCATAACAGTCCGCCCAGGGAGGACGACTCTCTCCTTTCATGTGGAAAATGCAGACCAGCAATCAACCACAGCAGGTTTCCAAAATACACCCCCTGTAGCTCCCGAGCCACCACTCCGGAGGAAACAGACTTCCCGATTCCTTGTCCAGAAAATCCACCCAACTTTTAGAGGCTCTTCCATTTTTCCCTTTTTCTCTTGACTCCCCGATCCCCATCCTGCCTACTGTAATCCACCTGTCTCTGCAGTTCAAACCCAGAAACTTATTTTAATATAAAGAAATTTTAGAGGTGCAAAACCACATAAAGCTGGCAAGAAACACAGAAGCAATTTCAACAAACTTGGTTAGTCACAAGTTTGAATCTAAGTGTCTTCTGGCACTGGTTATATTTCTGCTCATCCGCAGCACCCCCCACCCAAGACCATCTCCCCTAAAACCGTGGGCCTTCACGTCCACCCTCCTCCCATCTCAGACTGAGGAGGAACTCTTCCACATACTCGAGATCTGCAGAAAAACACTGTCAGTCGTGTCTGGCCCCAGACCCCTCTCTTTGCCCCCAACTCTGCGTTAGATCAAAATTTACCATGGAAACCACCTTCCTCATCTGTGTGACAAGTGCCCCTCCCCGGAAGTCTGGGATCAGCCTGTGGTCCTCCCCGGCAGTCAGGTCCTGGGCTCCGCTCTTCCCGCCGCAGCCTGGGGCTCTTCGGTTAGTTCCCCTGCTGAGGTCTCTCCCCTCATCACCAACCCCACATTCCACTAAAAGGCTTCTAGCACCCTGTGACTGCTGGCCCTGCAGGTCGAACCGGAGGCCCCTCTGCACGGCAGTGGTCACTGTGCCCTCCAGCCACTCACTGAGTCACAACAGATTCAACGGACTGACTGTGACGTTTTCCAGTCATCTCTTAAATTATGTAAAGATGCCATATTCACAGCCTGTGTGCCCCTCTCTCTCAGCCCTCTACCCACAACCTGTGACGGTCTCACCCACAAGCACTTTTGGAGACACTTTTCTGCCATAAAAATCTGACATTATAAACGAGTGCACTGATAACCACTGCGTATCAGGGACGATGAGGACAGCCACCACTCCAGACTGGGTTTTGGAAGGACATCTCGGGGAACGAGGGACCTGCTACGGCATTTTTAAGGGAAAGTTAGAAGATCTCGCTGTGCATTACAGATTTGAAAGCAGACTGCGTTAGGCACTTAACTCGTTCAGACTTCTTAAAAGCAACATACCTAGAGAAATTTCCATTTGCACAATGTGATGACTGTGATTTTTTTAAGTTTCCAGCCAGTCATCAAAAATAATCAACATACTACAACCAAACCTAGAAGTTCTCTCTATTAAAACATCACCAAGGTTGAAGATGCACCAACACGCTGACCTTCCAGGCAGAGGGACCAGACACACCCCAAGCCACTTGCTGGGCCCAGGGTTAATCAGGGGTGACGCACCTGCTGCTGAAAGGCCTGACTCGGACCGCCACTGTCACCTGGCTGTTCTCCACTTTTAAGGGGTCTGTTTCTGCAGAGGTTTTCCGAAGCGCAGGCTCCTCTTCGAGGAGGAACGTACTTTCTTGCAACCTTTCCCTCTTATTTGCGAGCAGGGAGCTTTTGGGCATCTGTTTAACCTGAAGGCTGGGCACTCTGCTTCTCGGCACCGACGCAGCCGGGCTCTTAAGCTGAGGCAGGCCTCGCTTCGGTGTCCACCTGTGTTCTGTAAGGCTCTTCGAGGGCGTTCTTTTTTCCAAGCTTTCATATTTATTTGAAAGTTTCGCCACATCCTTCCCGGCACCCCTGAGATGTAAGTTTCCTGTTTCTGACGCTCTCACATCCAGCTTGCTCTGAGCAGGTCTTGTGGCCGAGCACCCTGATCTAACAGCTTCTGTCTGACCCCGGGAGCCAACGGGGGCTCTGTCGCTCGAGGACCCAAGGGCGACGCCTTCGCCCGCCCCACTGCGGGCAGGAAACGTTCCTTGGTATTTTTCAGCAGCCTGCACGTCAGCGTCTTTGGGGTCTGCAGCTGGAGGTACAGAAGGTGCAACAAAAAAGGTTTTATCATGATTTACAACTTTCCAGTTTATACTAGTTTCTGGCGAAGAATGGTTACTTTCTGTTGTTTCCTGCTTTTCCGCAGCAGCTGCTTCAGCGCGACGCCGTGGCATCAGCCGTGGCTCTGCTGTTTTCTCAGCCGCGCCTCCCCGCTCGCCCCCCAGCAAGGAGGAGTCTTTGCTCCTTGTGACTCTCCTCTGAAGTGTCAATCTGCCCGCACGGTGAGGCGGGAGGGGAGCACCTTCTGGTTTTTCACAGGCAGAAATTACGTAAGTGCTGTCGATGCCTCCAGCTTTCCCCGCAGGTCTCAGCAGCGCAGCCCTGTCCTCAGGTGCTGACGTTTCCGACTCCGGCTGCAGCTGGCGGCTGCGGGCGAGGATGCTCAGCGCCAGCCTCCCCGGGGTGGCAGGGAGCCCCAGGTCACCGCCTGAGCTCCGGTCACACACGGTGTGTACAGACATCGTGGTAGCACGGTGTTTGTAGAAAGGATGTTTTTGGAGAAACTTTAAGCTCTTCTCTGGATGTTCACTTGACTTCCAGCCATTTCTTATGCATCAGGTTCCAAAATTATCTGCTAAAATAAATAAATAAATCTACATTGCACAGACTACAAACAGGCTTTAAAAATATGAGAAACTTCCACTGTGACAGAAACTTCCCAGAGGAATATATGAGGGTAGGGCGCTCTCCAAGTCAGACACTGCTCCCGAGGTGCTCAGACAGATCTCTGACCTAGAGAGCTTACAGCCGTCACCCAGCAAGGACGTACCAGGCTCCCACTACGTGCCAGGCCCACTGACGGGGCTGCGGATTTCAAAGACATTTTCATTTCGTTAGCCTAGAAGGAGTGCACAGGTGACCCTTATATCAGACCAAAGGCGCCAAGAGACTTAAAAGATATAAAAAGCACATATCAAAGAAGACACAGAATGGCCAATAAGCACGTAAAAAGATGCTCAATGTCACTAATCACGAGGCAAATAAAAATCAAAACCACCATGAGACATCCATCAGCATCACACCATCACATCCATCAGCATGGCTACAAAAAAAATAACAGAGAACAAGTGCTGACAAGGACGTGAAGACACTGGTGTACTGTTGGTGGGAAGGTAAAATGGTGCGGCCACTATGGGAAACAGTATGGACGGTCCTCAAAAAATTAAAATTACCATATGACATAGCAATTCCACTGCTAGGTACATGCCCCAAAGATTGAAAGAAAGGTCTCAAAGAGATATTTGTACCCCATGTTCATAGCAGCATTATTCACAATAGCTAAAACAGGGAAGCAATCCAAGTGTCCATGACCAATGAAGGGCTTATCAAAATGAGGGACAGTCCCACGATGGGATTAGTCAGCCTTAAAAAGTAAAGAAATTCTGCAATATGCCACAATACGGATGAACTCTGATGACATTATGCTAAGTGAAATAAGCCGGCCACAAAAAGACAAATGAGAGATGACTCCCCATATCTGGGGTACTCAGCAGGTAAAATCATACAGACAGAAAGTACATTGGCGGTTGCCAGGGGCTGGGGTGGGGGGGACCGTGGACAGTCACTGTTTAACAGCTGCAGAGTTAGACGTACGAGATGACAAGAGCTTTGGGGGTGGGTGGTAGTGATGACTGCACAACACACGAATATATTTTAAAGATGTACACTTGAAAGTGGGTAAGATGGTAAATGTCACGTGTATTTTAACACAGCGAGAAAAGAAAGGAGTACTCATCAGCAGCCCTTTTTAAGCACCTCCAGCTGGGGAGCAGGATGGGGACTCACAGACGCCCAAGCAGGGAGGCCAAAGGTGGCAGTGGAGCATCTCCGTGACACCTGGGAACGCACGCTACACACAGCAACGCCTCGTGGACGGGAGTTTGAGAGGCGCCACAAGGCAGACTGTTCCCACGTAAGAACCTCAGACAGTAAACATGAAACACACTGTAAGTAATCGCTTGTGCTGAGAACAGTTACGGAACGTTAGTTGAGTAGACAGCCGGCCCTCTAGCAGGCAGACAGCAGGGAGACGGGTACACATGCAAATGTGTGTCAACAATACCTACCCAGCAGTAACGTTTAAAAGAAATGAGAACCGCGGTGACAGCTAAGAGGGCGGGCTCCCAGTCGGCTCTCTCTCAAACTGGTTCTGTTGATTTGAAACTTGCATACCTGATTCTAACTTGTAAAGAGACACCTGATCAAACTATTTCCTTGTGAAAGTAAATAAAGAAAAACTCATTTAAAACGGAGCCGGGAGGCCCCACACGGAGCACTCATATTTTATGTCTTGTCATTTTTTACAGACTCTGGGAAGAACCTGCCTCACATACCAGGGCAAAGAGGAAGGAAGAGTTCCTCCTCGCCCGGCAATGGCTCAGCCACTGAGGAAATACGCACCCGGTCACCTGGAGGTCGCCACCACCCCAACGGTCCCTCTCCTTCACTGAATTTCCGTGCAGTTCTCTCCTTTTCTCCACACAGACCTCTGCTTTACTGCCCCTCACAGACACCGCGTTTTTCACAAATTGAAGGTCCGTGGGCACCCTGCATCAGCAAGTCAGTCAGTGCCAGTTTCCAGCAGCATTTGCTCCCTTCATGTCTGTGTCATATTTTGCTAATTTTCAAAATATTCCAGACTTTTTCATTAGTATTTTTCTCATTACAGTGATCTGTGATCCGTGGTCTTTGATGTTACTACTATGACACGCTGAAGGCTCAGATAATTGTCAGCATTTTTATCAGACAGTATTTTAAATTAAGGTATATACATTGTTTTCAGACATAACGCTACTGCACACTCAACAGGCTACAATATAACAAACATAACTTTTATATGCGCTGGGAAACAAAATTCATGTGTCTAGCTTTACTGCAGGCATCTGGACCCAGCCCACAGTATCTGGGAGGTGCCCATCCAGGGGCGCCCCTCTTCTGTTGAGCCGCCCATTCTCCTCCAGCTGGTCCTGAACTGCAGTCCTCTGCTATTTCCACCTAAACTCTTTTTGATAATATAATTAAGTGGCTACTGTATTTTTAAAGTCGACACCAGAGATTATTGCTCTGAAGGAACAAAATAATCGAGGTTCACTTTAAAAGGTAAGCCTTTTAAAGTTCTAAATCAGTAACAACCATTACCAAAAACTTCGCCAGGATCTAAGCATCTCCCGGCAACCCCGCCACTAAAAGCAAGCAACCTTCCCGTTGTGGAAATAGGAGGGCAAGAAAAGATCCCTGGCACCTGCTCCGCAGCTGAAAGCCGTCTGCTACTTCCGCGGAGAGAGACAGCTGCTTGTTCCGGGGGTCGCGGTCAGACCCGAGGGAAGAGGGCGCAGACGCGGCGACGTGTTCCCAGCGGTCGCCTCGGGGCCCGGACCGCGCGCGACCCGCCCCTAAGGCCGGCCGGCCGCCCGGAGGGGTCAACGCGCGCGGAGGGCGAGGCCCGGGTCCCGCCGCCCCCAGCCCTCCTCGGGGACCCCCGGCCCTCCTCCAGGAGCCCCTCCTCGGGGACCCCGCCTTTCCTGGAGAGCACCCCCTCCACACACACACACACAGACTCACCGCCCCCGCCCCTCCGCGGGGACCTGTCCCTCCTCGGGGACCCGCCCCGACTCCCGGCCGCTCTCCCCGCTCCCACCCCCGCACCGGCGCTCCGCCCCCGGCCCCGCAGGCCCCACAGGCCCCACCTCGCAGCCCCCAGGCCGCCCAGCGCCGCTCACGCCTCTGCCTCCGGCCCGCGGTTTGAATGCGCGCCCCGCCCTCTGATTGGCTGCCGGGCGCCGCGCACGCACGTCCTCCCGGAAGCGCGCCGCCGGTCTTGCGGATCCGAGCCCCGACCCGCGCTCGCGTCTCCTAGGCAACGGGCCCCGCCCTTCCGGGCTGCGGGCGCGGAGCATCCCCGGCGCCTTTCAGGTGTGCTGGAACCAGGAGAGCGACAGCGACGCGCTTGTCCAGCCTCAGGATGAAACCAGCAGTCGTCCACCTTACCGCCTTACCTCCAGGACTTCTTGGTGCGGAAATGGCTGTTTGCCCCCAAGTTAACCACATTCACCCTTTTCCAGTATTTCTTGTGCAAAACCCGGAGTTGGGAAGGGTGCTAAATGCCTTACATGGAATTTCTCATTTAATCTTGAAAGTCTTACGAGGTACATGTTAATATGATCCCCAGTACAGATGAGGGACTGAGGTTTAGACTTAAAGTTCAAAAAATCGGCAACTAGCAAGTGGTGGTAAGTGTAATTCCAAAGAGCGCATGGTCAAATATCACTCAGTTTCTAAAAATATTCCAGTAAGATTTTGAAACATGAAAAAATGATAATAATACATGCTGAAAAAAACCAGGTCAGTGAGAGGGACTCTACTCAAGCAGATATCATAACGCAGCTTTACTTTTTAAACAGCAAAAAGGCAGCTAATGGAAATGTATTCAATGGGATGGAAAGGGAAACCAGAACTGACTCTAACTGGATGGAAAAACTGAATGGATGATAAAGTACTTGTGCGAAACGTCACTGTTAAAAATCACTCTAAAAATATTAAAGTTAAATTATAGAGAAACCATCAGAAAAAAGAATGTATCAGATCTATGGGAAAATAATCAAGTCTAGAAGCAAAAGAAAATATGGCAAGAAAAGACTGACAAACTCAAAATACATAAATATTTTAAACACATGTATAGTTCAAAATGTCTAAAATGTAGGGGAGGGAGGGTATAGCTCAAGTGGTAGAGCACATGCTTAGCCTACACAAGGTCCTATGTTCAATCCCCAGTACCAATTCTAAAAATAAATAAACCTAATTACCCCCCCAAAACTAAAATGTAGTAAATAACTAGAAAAATACACTAAATGTGACAGAAAATGCAAAGATCTCTTTCAATTACACAAGGAAAATAAAGTTACAAATAGAAGAATAAAATAAATAAAATATAAAAATGGACAAAATACACACAAAAATAATTCAGAAAAAATAGAATGGAAAATCCAGCCATTAAATGCAAGTGAAAAAATAAATTAGGTACAAGTAAAAAAAAAAAGCTTTTTAGTTTTGGTGCTGGTGATGTTGCATAAAAATTTAAAGTACACATTTCTAGTGACAGAAATGGATGAGATTCTCGAGGGCAGGGACCCCACCCTTTCATAGTGGACCCCGCCTGCTTAGTGTAAGCCCTGATATAGAAAAAACACTAGGCAAATATTTGTTGAGTAAATAGCAAATCCGCCTACGTAGCAACATGATACTGTATTGGAAGAGCCATGAAGATACTCATATTCTTTGACCTAGTAACTGCACTACAAAAATTTATTCTTGGAAAATATTTCAGTGTAAACCAAAAAGCATGCAGCCCCTGCCCCCTCGCCCCCAACTGGAAAAAACTCCCAATGGCCAACCCTGAGAGAATGTTTTAAATGGTTCAAAATGAGGGAAACCACGGAACCGCAGGAGCTGGGGGGAGGCGAGCTCCCTGGTCAGAGCACATGCTTGGCACGCATGAGGGCCTGGGTCCAATCCCCAGTGTCTTCGGCAAAGAAAACAAGAATTTTTTTTAATAAGGAAAAATAATTCTATTACAACAATTAAGGGTCATTAAATTAAATTTACAAATCAATTGTTTAAAATATTACAAATTAAAGTTACAATTACCAGTGAACTAGAACCAGACAGTGCGTGGCCTGAAGAGCAGACCCTGCCCCAGACTCTGAGCCCTAGGTGGAGCCATGCCTTGTCTGCCTCCCGTCTCCCCAGGCCCCACACAGAACTCTCAAGAGGACCTTCTTAGAGCACCAGCCTCACTTCCCTCTTCTCATTCTTTCTGTTAGAAACTCCCAATTTAATTCCAGCCAAAGGAATAATACTGCACAGAATCACGGGCTGTCTGTGAGCCACCTCCAGATTACAAAAGAGGGATTTCTGTCGCGCGCGCGCGTGTGTGTGTGTGTGTGTGTGTGTGTGTGTGAAGGAAGGATTTATTACTTGCAGCAAGCAAGGAGAACCAGGGGTCTTCCCCAAAGCGGTATCTCTTGTTCTTTTATGTATTACACCAAGATGGTGCGTTTTTCTTGAAATCCTGCCCACAGCTGACCCACGGCAGGAGTCACTCCTGGGGACCCCAGCTTCCTCATCTGGGGACTGCACATGCTAGGGCTGTCATGAGGATTAAGTCAGCGAATGCAAAGTGCTCAGCTTAGAGCCAGGCATGGGGTTACACTCAGTGAATGTAACGCACGCAACTGCATCGCCTAATAACACCTCCAAAATGCGGCAAAGTCCTGTTCACGGCCAGCGCTGAGGGGCTGCGATCATGCATTTGATAGGCTGTCAACGATGGTAATGACACAGCTGACTTTATGAAGGCTGAGGATTACGATTTAATCCCCAGAAATAACCACGAGATGAAATGGGGAGCCCTTTTGTACTGGACTCACTGGACTGTATGAAAAATCAAGAGAGAGCAAGAAAAAGCTATCTCCAAGGGGGAGCAGTCCTAATCTCCATTTTACTTCAATTTGATTAGAACTTTCTTAGAACTGCGCTCTTTTGTACTTTTTGATTGAAGAAAAAGGAATCTAGAAAATGCAGATTCAGCCACACGAGGTTGAAGGGTGAGCAGCCAGGATGAACCTCCTTTCATCGCGAGCTTGGGGGCCTGTAGCCCGGGACGCCCCCTCCCACACGCATACATCCGGGCTTTGCCCTCCAGCTCAGGTGGAGAGAGCCCTTCCTTACTGCTAATGCGGCAGCTCTTTTAAATGCCCGATTGTTCAAACCTGTTTTCATGTTTGACTCATTAAACAATAGCTCCTTTGGGGATCTAAAGTCATCAAACCTGCTTGCCACTCTGATTACTTTTACCTCCCTGACTCTTGGCTTCTTGACCTGTAAATTGAAGAGATGATACATCAGTAATAGCTAGAAAAATCAAATTAGGTAATGCATGTGAAATGCACATGAAACAGTTTTAAATGTGGCACATTACTGAATGTAAATTTAAATTGCTATATGGTTTGACTGTGCGTAGTTAACTCAGATATTTGTGAGTTAACATAGATCATGCGTATGAAACTTGAACACATGTAGCCTGGAACATAAGGCCTCCCTAAATGGGAATAAAATCAGAACCAACTATGCTTCTCTCATCTAAGGTAATGCTGTTGGTAATCTTTCTTAGTCTGAGATCTCATTCACCATCAGCTGCAAACTTTTCTTCATTTAAGCTCTTGTCTCCCTTGGCCTTGGAGCAACAGGTGTCCCTACTGCTCCTCAGGACAGGCCCCACACCTGGATCCTGGATCCATCTTCCACATCCCCCGGAGACCTCCCTGCGGCACCCCCCCCCACTTCAGCATCTCTCTCATCTGAAAAAAAAATTGGCTCTTATAAAAGCCAACCTGCCAAGCTTGTGTGAATTGAGCTCTGTGCAGCATTTAGATGACCGGACACCGCCCCATTTTAAATTACTCTCCTGGTGTTTTCTGAACTCTCTCCTCAGTTTCAGAGTCTTCTGCACCTCCTCAGCCTCATTTCACTGCTTGTTCTTCTGTGAAATGGGGAGCTAGGGAACAAAATGGAAATACTGGCTAGGAGGTAGAAATCAGTTAGTGTATTTCCTGGGAAAATTGAGATTAGTGTGTAGATGTACATGTCCAATGGGATATATGCAAATGATGGCTGGAGCTCTGGCAGCTATTTTGGACCATGAGGATGAAGGCCACATCCTAGGGATGGAGTAGGAACTGGAAGGGGCCTGGATCCCTGATGCCAGGGAGCTTCATATCAGACCTTGGACTGCTTACTTCCTGACTTCTATTACATAGACAGAAATAAACCTTTTGTTTTAAAAGCCACTTATTTGAGTTTCCTGTTTTTGCTGCCTAATCCTAACTAATACAACTCCCATTACCTACAAAATGAGATTCAAACATAACTTAAAAGGCCCTGTGATTGGGTTGCTGCTCACTCTTCCACTTGGTGTCTGACCACTGCCTGTCACCCCCAGTCTCTTGTACTTTATTCTCAGCCATCCAAACCCCCTGTCCCTTTCTGAATACGCCTCCTCTGTCTTTGCATGTTCTTCTCAGTGCCAGAGAGCCGATGTTCTGCCCTCCCTGAATCTGAGCCTCTGCAGAGATTCCCATCCAGGAAAGATAGTTTTCTAGAAATTTCACATGAACCAGGCTGACAACAGATAAGCTCCTAACAGGAGCAAAACCTATCCAAAATAATCCAGTTATTCTGGAAATAAAACGAAGTGGTTTTTTGATCCATCAGAGGGCGACAAACCAAAAGAAAATGTAGAAAGTGTTTGGCAGTCAAGCAAGCCTTCCATTATGTTCAGAGTTTTAAAAATGATGAACTCATTCTAATTATTGGTCTCAGGATACAAATCTATTACAATTTATCCAGTTTCATAATTTTTGAATTATTGAAATGAGCATATTGTTTTCCCACTTTGTAGGTGTTATATTCGGCTGCATTTTGGGGTCCACAACAAAGAATTGCAACAGGATGATGGACATTAATTTGAAGTCCAAAGCGGAAGTGGAGGAGAGACGTCAGAGCCGGGCTGCGTCGCAGCTCGGTGGCGGGGACGGCGGCGGGGCTCCCAGTGCAGTTCCCTCACCCGGGAACCTCAGCTATGGGACTCAGTAATCCAGTAAACCGGCCATTGCTGTTGAGTCCCCTCTTTAGGCAGGACGCGCACATCCTCTCATTCAATCCCCAGCCCCCCCAGC